AAACTTTAAAGTATGTTCCGAAAGTATTGTAGTGCATCGTACTGTGGTACGAAGCTTATGTAAATGAATACTTAAATGAAGGAAATAGCCTTGAATTAATTCAAATAATACTAAACTGTTTCATGACTTGTTGGAAAAGATTTGGAAAACAATCTTCTTGCCGCCTGGCAGTGAAGCGGATAAAAAATGATGTAGATTGCGGTTGAGTACGTGTTAAGAAACTAGTCGTGATTATTGAAACTTTAAACAAAATACTGACGCCAACAGAACAATCATTTGCACTATTCTAAATATTAAATAGTGTACAAAATAGTCAAACAACTTTAAAGAATCAAACAATAACGTGCGTGTCGGCATTACAATTGCTTTAGAAACATGTAATTTTCTAGAGCAAAGCACCATGATACGGAAATGTTATTTCTTTTTTGTGTATATATTTTCAAAAGTAATTTTCTAGAGCATAGCAACATGGTACAGAATATCTCAGTTTACTGAATGAAGAAAATAACCTTGATGTAATTCAAAAGATATGAAGCATTTCATGTATTGTTTTGAAAAAAAAATTTATGTAAAATGTATACCTAAATGAAGGAAATAGCCTTGAATTAATTCAAATAATACTAAACTGTTTCATGACTTGTTGGAAAAGATTTGGAAAACAATCTTCTTGCCGTCTGGCAGTGAAGCGGATCAAAAATGATGTAGATTGCGGTTGAGTACGTGTGAAGAAACTAGTCGTGGTTATTGAAACTTTCAAAAAAAAAAATACTGACGCCAACAGAACAAACATCACCACTATTTTAAATATTAAATAGTATACAAAATTGTCAAACAACTTTAAAGAATCAAACAATAACGTGCGTGTCGACATTACAATTGCTTTAGAAATATGTAATTTTCTAGAGCAAAGCAAAGTAATTTTCTAGAGCAAAGCACCATGATACGGAAATGTTTGCCTTTAGTACGGTATCCAATTCTTCTGTAAAATTGTTTGCAGTTGATACTTGGCTTTGAGAGCTGTGGACTGAGTTGATGATATTTAGTCTCCACTAAGACATAAATGTCCTGTGCGAGTGGTCTCGAGAGTGGAATTTGTCATTCAATAAACGACAAATGTAGGTCTAAAGTTGTTCACTATGGTAGAATCAATTCAAAATGTTCCTCCTTTATGTTTAATGCTGAAATTCCATAGTTACCTTTGATGCTAGTTTCAACTCCAGAATGTTGCTGATGTGGATGTAAGAAAGCAAATAGACCTGTACCGTAATTGGGAATGATTAAACGGCCTTTTAGAATTTTGAGGAAATGGCTATATTGAAATTTTTTAAGTCTGTAGACCAAATCCTAATTGTGGAATGTTATTTATAACCCAATTTTTAAAAGAGAGGAAGATAACTTAGAGAATGTACAGCAACGTGACTAAGATGTTTCTTGAGGTTAGGGATTTATCATAAGAGAGACTTTACAGATACTAGATCAGATCTTTAATTGTCCAAGGAATTGATGGGGTTTCAGCTGATTTATTTTTTTAAGAACTAGAGGATGATTCTAAAATCAAACATCAGTGCCTTTTCATTGGATTATGGGCTGTGGAATTATTCTTTGTCGAATGACGATGTTAATTCAAATTAAATAAACAAGTATAGGACTATATGCAATTGGCAATCGTTACTGACCACCAGTCTTACATTTGCACCATACATGATTTTTTTTTCAAAACCGGGGCCTCAAAGCCTCGCTTTGCTTGATCACTATAGCCTACCCAGGAGGATCAGACGAATCAAAGACTCTACTGGGACACAACTGTAAAGAAGAAAAGGTACTACATTAGTAACTTTTTTTTTTCGAATTGGTTACTGTACAAAAATGGCGCATTAGAATTTTTACTCAGGCACGTCGGGAACCCCGTTCTGATTGGTAAAATATTTACCAATCAGAACCAATCAAAAAGTGGAACTTTGTTGGTTATTCATTACCTGTTATGTACATGTAGGCCTACATATACCTGTTAATACCTGATGAAATTCTAACAGGATCAACAGGAATTTTCTCCAGGGGAACCTTTATTTGATGTTCTGGATTTATAAATGTACAATTTTACAAAGTAGGCCTAATTGAATTTCTCACACATTTGTCCCATTAAAATATGTCTTTTATTTTTATCATTGTAAATAGAGACCAAAACTGCTAAATACCATGATGGAAACATCGGTCTCAAAAGTGGTCTTAATTGGAGGGGGGGTCCTATATTTATTACAGTATTTAAAAAAATGAAATTAAATAAATCTAGAGCGCCCTCAACTACAAACTAGATACAGGAACCGATCCCGCATCCGCCGTCGTCGTTTCGTGTTTTGTTGTCGTTCTCTGCACACAAAAAAAAAATCAAATGACTGTGTATAGGCCTAGTCCTAGTTGTATGTGATTTGTAATCTTTGCTTGATAATATGCATTTGCATATGAACTTTCCGTGCATCATTGGTTAATGTGGTTCATAAGAAATCTATGGAATGGCGGTATACTTCTACCACCTGCTAGACACCAGCCTCGCCTATTTGAGAACAACCAAAATAACAGCGTTGTTTTGTTTTTTTATGGGGGCGCACTTAAGACCGTTCATTCATCATTATGGCGTGGAGGTCCACAGGCACTACACACGCAGAACTGATTACAAAATTGAGTCAAAAAGATACTAAATAGTCCTAAGTTTAAACTATTGGTTTAATATAGGATAACGTATATGTTCATTTACTTATGTATGTTATGTTTATTAATTATGACAGTTGCATATGTGGGCGTTGTCAAATCCAAGTCCAGGGTCTCAGCAGGGTCCAGCTGGCAGGGAGAGGGTAGGCCTGACCTAGGCCTAACTAATATAATGCTGTAGCATTTGCTAGGTAGGTCTAGGAGCGGCGTAGTCTAAACAGGCGTAGGCCTAGGCCCCTAGCTGCTTCTACTAACCTAACCAGCAAGGGAGGCCTTTTAAGTAAGAGTTGTAGGTAGGCATTAGCTAGGTTTAAAGGTTACTGTTGCCGGTTATAAAGCACCATCATAAAGACTCACAAACCAGGCTGTTTATAAATACTGTACGTTGTTGCTAGAGATATGGTACTGTATCTTAAAGCCCCATTCCTGGCAAAATTTCTGTTGTTAAGAAAAATCTAATTTTTGTATAATGTTATAAAGATTTATAAATTATACGAAATTGCTAGTTTAACTAAATTTTGACATTCCTAAGCATAAAAAAAATGTAAAATAAGACTGAAATTTGATTTTTTGTGTTCCACACAAAAAATAAATGCGGATGAATTTTTCCTGTTTGATTTTGCGATAGGTCGTGCGAAGAAATATAGTAGGCACCGAAAACATTACTCTATCCAACACTGCTAGGCTAGGCCTAGCCTTACCTCGATTTAGGTTCTGTTAATGCCAACTCAGACAGCGTCAGCCGACGCAGCCTGACCAGATTTATTGTCGGGGACAGTCTTAAGCCATCGGGAGAAATATTAAACATGTTTAATATTCTACGACGCGACTCTCCCCGACGCACACCATCGCGTCTGCATTTAACTCGCACAGACCCGACGCAACAACAAATCGCATCGGGCTGTATCGGCCAACGCTGTCTGAGTTGATGATATTTTCCGTTGCTAGTATTGTAAAACACGCTGCGTCAACGACCAAGCTGCCTTAGCCGTGGGTACCATGACGATTCAAAACAAAACAAATTAGGGCTGAGTCTCGACTGCTGGTGGGTGTGACACGACCTTCGGTCTTTATTAACTTAACACCTCAACACCACCGTGAAACTATAACAAAAAAACAAATCATTATAATTATGGTGTATCATAACAGTACAATAGTTTGATATTCCCTTACACTACGACAACGCCAAGTGTAATCTGGCTATCTAGGCTTTCTTTCGCCGTACAGCGTGTGTGTACACAGGCGGGCCTATGCCTAGGCTATGTATTACCGTATAGAATTTCTAGGCCTATCTACTGTATATTGTTTGGTATAATCGAATATAGGACTTATTATATAATTGAACTATTGTTATTACAAAGCATATTTGTTGTTAAACTGTATTTATTAATCTACTGTACCTTTTGGCCGCTCTGGTACCTATTTACCTCAAAAAAGAAAACATGGCCACTGTCGGTAACTTATATAATAACTACAGAGGGCTCACTTCTCAACCCAGGGGATAACACTACAGTTGAAGTCCGCTGTGTGGACGAAAGCTAGAGAATAAATTTTATCGTTAGTCTTAAAAGTGCTGCTGTAATTTCATATATATTGTTGAAAGTATAAAGTAAATAACAGCAGCACTTTTGAGACTTCTCTAGCTATACTTTTTATTCATCATATATATTGTTCTATATCAGACTAAGGCTTAGGTGGCTACACTTTTTATTCATCATAAAGCTTAACTACTGTATATATATAAAAAGTCTATAAAAATATACAACAAAATAAAAAGAATTCAGAAGTTAAACAAATATTGTTCAAACTGACAAAGGAAAACAGAGAGAATAGTATAATCTTGTAAATCATTTTAAAGCAATAGTAACAGAAAATCAGAAATCATTTTAAATCTATTAACATATTTATTATTTCAATCATTTATTTTTTAATAAAATTTATAATGTGTTTGTGTGTTCTGGTTTTGTATACAAAGAAATACATTCTAATGGCAATCAATATTCTTTTCCTATAAGCTCTCCAATCCATCGTCTATATAGAGATTTGCATTGTGTTGCTAAATTGGATAAACTGGAAAAATAAATAAATTGTCCATTATAGTAAGAGCCTTTCGCCAATAATTTGTATTCAATCAATCCATCAATCAATTTGTTTTTTCTGTGTTTTATTTATATTTCTCTAAATACATGTGAAATTTTAGTTCTAAGGATAAAATATTATAAATTAAATGTAAATTATATTTTGGAACGGAGTCAGTACTTTAGCAATTATGATTTTGTTTTATTGTATTTCAGGGCATATCTGTAGATGATGTATGCCTTCTGTTCCGGTACAGTGCTGCCTTGTTTGTTAGTGACAATGTTGGACCAGTGGTGTTACTTTGCTCCGAACTACCCCCTGATTCAATCGCAGTTGCTGTGGTAAGTCACTTTTTACCATCATCATTTAAGTAATAACTAGAATTCCTTCTTTTACGCAACGCAGTAAAATCATAGCCTCCGCGCAGTGCAATTTTGCCCTGGTATAAAATGTTAAAATCTGAATCTCACTCTCACATATTGGGCATTAAATAAATTCAATCAATCAATTTTAAATATAATATAAATATAATATTTCATTTGCAGTCATTGCCAGAGGTGAAAGAAGCTAACAGTACAGTTGCGCTCATCAATGCCATCGTAGATTACTTGGAACTACCTGGTACCAGTAATTTAGTGCTGTCAGCTGTCGTCACCATTCAAAAATTAACATACTCACTTCAGTCATCCCAAAATAATCAATGTAAGTACAAACAATGGAGAAGACAAGATGATGATGATAATAATAATAATAATAAAAATGAAAATTTCCGAGAACCTGGCAACCTCTGAGGGACATCCAGAGGCTTAGGCATTTCGCCTAATGATTAAAAATTATATGTATTAAACTTTCCATACAGTGGCGGATTTAGAGGCTCCCCTTTTTGGAAAGGAAAAAAAATTAATCACCCAAAATGCCTCAGAGGTTATTTTCAGGTGTCTAGGAAACAAGAATTTTGCGGGGGAATTCTCCCGGACCCCCTATGGTGGTGTAATTGTGATCAGCCCCACTTTCGGACCCCTTTCTGTCCCCCCCTTTCAGACATCCCTGGATCCACCCCTGCCATATATACATTGTTACAGTATTAATATTAGTTGTCATTTTCTTTTTGTAGTTACGCAGAATCTGTGGATGTTTACACTACTTGTTGTGCTATTGCTGTCCGTGATTCTATTACTGTTTGTTTTTTACCGAGTTTATCAACGTCACAGAAGAAAGCAGGTCCCTCGCGAGGACGAGGAAGACACATCTCCATCAGAGCCTAAAAATAATCAACAACAAGCCGCAATAAAACGATATCATAATCAGCTTTTTACAAACCAAAGAGCGGCAGGCAGTAGCAAAGCAGCTACATCAGGCGATGCGTCACGCACGCCGAGCACAAAATATACACATAGCGAAAAACATGTGGAAGAAACACACACAAAAATGCACTGTTGATGTTCACATGGAGAACACAAGGACCAAACAGAAGAACTCTTTGCATTTGAATGTGGAGAAGATCTGAATAATTATTAATGTTAAAATGTTTCCCAAATATTTGTGAAAACATGGTCTTCATAGCAACACTGTAATGCACCATAGCAACAGTAACCATGGTAGATAACTATGCTGCTAGGGAAATAGCTTCCCTCCTATCATCACAGATTAAACTCTCCAAACTTTTTCAGCGGTAATTCCACCAAAATATTTAGTTTTATATGGACTTCAAGAACTTGAATTAAAAGACAGTTATTGATAGATATTAGATATTTATTTTCATATTGATCTTTATTGATTTGAAGTCGATCGATCTTCAGTTTACATGTCGTTTGTTGTGTCTGAAGTTAGTTTTTTGTGTCACTTTGATCGTATGATCTTTGGCCATTGCCTGAGTAAGTGTCACAAACTCCAAAACATTCTATTTTGAAAAACATCATGTGTTGAATATTATCAAAGTGGTCCTTACCTGGGATTGAGGGCAGCATTCCATATGACCTTTCACCTTGTATTTATGTTGCATGTATTATGTATATGATGATAGTATTTTAGATTAACAGAGATCATTCCGAACCACAGTAAGTGTGGTTGTAATTTCGGAGTAAAACCAACCTTGACAGTTTCTAAAAAGTTAATTAGGCTGTAATATCATTGATAACATTATTAGTTCCTATGCATGTAATGCAATAGGAACTATTGTAATCACTCTTGCTATTTCCTATGTTTTTTATTGTGTGTAGTGTGTATGTGTGTGTGTAGACATTTATGCAAATGCGCATGCGTC